CTACATTCACAGACAGCACCTCCTCCAATTCTACTAAACAGGGAAGAAAAATCCAAGGTGGAAGAAGTGTTAGATTCTAGAAGCAGAGGAAAGTAGGTTGAATACTTGATATGCTGGAAAGGCTACCCAGAGTCAGAAAGATCATGGGAGGCAGCAATGGACATGCATGCACCACAGTTGGTTCACCGCTTTCACAACCAGTACCCCAGCAAACCCCGTCCTTGGCAACTACTGGCCTTGCAGAAGTCACACACTAACCAAGACGAGCAGGAAGAATTTTTCTGTGGGGTGGAGGGAGCCTTGGAAATAACAAGAGACTGAGTAGGGGGAAATGACTCAGCTCCTTCCACAACAGGCATGCAGGACCAGAAGGGGGGGAGACCAACAGATTCCTGAGGGAGAGGCGGCTGTCACCTCGACTGGAGCAGATGGTTTGTGGGAAGCCTCGTGTGATCTTGGGGAATTACCGGAAGAAGGGAGGGTGACGTAGTTGCATTTCTTCCTCACAGTCCATGGCCTGTCTCCCCTGGGAACTCAGGATGGGGGGATGAAGCTGAAGGGGAGGGTGATGTGATGGAATGTGAGGGTGGCCTTGGAAGATGGGGGAAAGAGATGCCATAAAGGGAATGATCAGATAAAAGAGAAAGGAGTCTGCAACAGATTAATAGTCAAGGAAAGAAACTTAGGAAAGATCTAACTACTCAGGCAGTAAATAGGGAGGGCAGGAGATTTGTGCTTTTAGACTTGCAAGATTCTGTTAATGTAGCCCTACAATAAAGTAGAATTAGTTCATCTAGTCTTGTTTCCTGTCTGGTTTACCTGGGAGGGTTGACATGACGTGATTGCCATTTGTGACCTTCTCAGTGGGCTTCCGACAAGTAAAGACAATGGGGGAAGCCAGATTCGCTTAACGACCATGGCAAAAAAGTTGTAAAATCAGGCATGACTCACTTAACGACCATATTGCTTAGTGACAAAAGTTCTGGTCCCAATTGTGGAGGTAAGTTGAGGACTACCTGTAGTACTTTAATCACTTGTTTTCAGTTTCATGAGCTGTGATTATATTAGTCTCAGGCACGTAAACTCTAAAAATAAAATGCCTGCCAACCTTGTTCTCTTACTATCTTTGCTGCTCATTCTCCAAAAGGCCTTCTAAATAAAAAGCTAATTTTATTATTTTTGATTAGTTATCTTAATTATTGAACATAACCCAGTCACCCAAGGATCAACATGAAAACACTAGAAATCCTTCCTATGCAAAGCTGCAGGTTGATTTCAGAGTGAAAAAAAGGATTGAAAATAGTTAGAGATTAGTCGTTTTTCATGAAAAAAACAAGATTTGGGACCGTATTTTTAAAAATATAGTCAAGCTGTTAATCATAATACAGATGAGTTAGCAGTAAATAAAGGTTAATTGGTTTACTGCCAAGAATACTGAATTCTGATGTAATGTCAAGCATAAACACAAACTTAAAACTGAGAGCTCTCTAGGTTTTCAACTGCACATAGCAAGAAAATATGCAGTGACAAATTTACTGAAAAAATGAAGCTTAAAAAAGCGCTAATGATTTTCTAGCTCTTACCAAACTTAATTCCTCATACTAATTGAAGATACATTACCATGGGAATTTTCTATAATTTTATATGGCACTATAAAAATTTATATCCTGGAAAAATGCTTTTGCCAAGTTTCTATATAAATACCTCCAGGCAACAGGATTTGTCAGCCTAAACTGGCTCAACATTAGTTCATAATATCTATTTATTGCCACACTTGAAAAAGGAATACTGTACCTTTGGGGAGTACAATTATGATTCTAACTCCTCCCAGTGTTTGATTTGCAACCATAATCACACAAATTAAGTATCTGAGGTTATGCATATTAAAGAACTGATAAATTGGCAGATTCACTTGTGAGGGCCCTCAGGGCTTGATGCTCTCACCCCTTCTGTTTAACATCTATATGAAATAGTTGGGAGAGATCACCCATCGGTTTAGGGCAGGGTTCCCCCAAATGGTCAATATCAACACCCAAGGGTTGAACTATCCATTATTGTTGTTGTTGTTATTGTTGTTGTTGTTATTATTATTCATAGTACTATTAAAGTAGTATTTATTAAATTATTTTCATATAATAAATGTTTGGGAGTAGTTGAACAATCTGAAACTTCATGAAGGGGTAGATGAGCTGAAGATTTTGGGGACCACTGGTTTAGGGTCTGATAGCATCAGTATGCTGATGGTACCTAATTGTATGTTTTGACCCCAGGCCTCCCAAACAGTGCTGTTGATGTCCTGTCCCAATGTCTGGAGGCTGTGCAAGTCTGGCTGGGGAGAAACAGACTCAGGCTCAACCCTGACAAGACCAAGTGGTTGTGTGCATTTGGATCCCCCCAACTCTAGAAATTCTCCATCTCCAGCCTGGATGGGATTGTACTTCCCCGTTTGAAACTAATGTGCAATCTGGGGGTTCTCTTGGATTCACATCTCCTGCTCAAAAAGCAGGTGGCAACTATCACCAAGAAGGCCTTTGCAGAGATCCATCTAGTACACTATCTTTGCACTTGTTCCTAGTTCAGGAGATCCTCTAGATGGTCAAGCACCTTTGTGATTTCACAGTTGGACTACCACAATGCATTCTAAATGGGGTTACCCTTGAAGATCACTCAGAAACTACAGCTGGACCAGAATGCAGTGGTGTGGGCAGTAATGGGCATACCTTGGAATGCCCATGTGACACCACTGCTCTGTGAGCTGCACTGGCTGTTAGTTGGTTTCTGGATGCTGGTTATCACCTAGAAAGCCCTTCATGATATAGGACCTGGTTATCTGAGGCACCACCTATTTCCTATAGTTTCGGCCATCTTATAAGATCAAGCAGAGTGGGTGCATTCCAGGTCCCTTCAATCAAACAATCTATCTATCGGGACCTAGGAAGCACGTCTTCTCCATTGTTGCACTTCCCCTCTGGAAAAAAATCCCCCCAGAATCCGTATGGCTCCCATCCTGACAAAATTCAAAATGGTGTTGAAAACTTGGCTGTTGCCCCAGGCCTTGGGGTAGAGTGGTGCCAAGATCCTATAGGATTTTATTTGATTAATTTTATCTTATTTCCCTTGGGGTAGAGTGGTGCCAAGATCCTATAGGATTTTATTTGATTAATTTTATCTTATTTCCCTTGGGGTAGAGTGGTGCCAAGATCCTATAGGATTTTATTTGATTAATTTTATCTTATTTCTTCAGGACACACATTATCCTTGTTGCCACTATTTTACTGTTTTATTGACTTTAACATTGTAAATCACCCAGAGTCTTGTGGAGTTAGGTGGCTTCTAAACTGAATGAATAAATAAATAATTAGCTGGCCCGCGTGGCAGCAACCTCCTTCTTTCCTCCCTCCTAGTAATGTCTCGCCATAGAAGAACAGTATCATACTAGAACTATGGCATCGTTTTCCATCCTCCATTTACAGGGAAGAGTTACTTTTTTGGTAACAGAAACCCAGTTGGTTCCTCTATCACACTGTCACAAAGCTGTAATTGAATGCATTTTATCTGCCCTTGTTTAGCGCGAAATAAAGAGTGAAGGAGTGTAAGAGACTGAAAGCTAGGGAGGGGAAAGAGAACAATAATTACAGTACTTCCAATAGACAGTTAAAAAAAGAAGAAAAAAATTTATTTTATCTGTAGTATTTTCAGTTCATACAAAACTGCTTTTAACTATCCAAGAGCTTTTCACATATCTATTGACAACAATTTACATTTTATGCTTCTCTTTGGAATAATAGCTTACAAAAAGCCAATACTGTCAGCTGTATTAATCTTATGACTGTGAGATATCACTGAATGATCACACTTACTATTTCTGATCAGTAAAGGCTCAGAAGAATTAGCACAATCAGGAATGAATTTATTGTAAAATTAAACTATTTTTAACATAGTAAAAGCAGAATACTGTGATACTCATTTATCCATTAATGCATAGTTCTCTTATTAACATATTTTATGAATGGTTGACTACAGAAAGAGATGGGTAAAATTCAAGCATCTGTGTCATTCCTTTTCATGCTGTGATATTTATGACAGCACAACGACTTCTTTTACTTCTGGATTGTGACATCTGATAGATAGTCAGGTCAGCATGCTTACTTTAAAAATAAAGAAATTTGAACCATGATAATAAAAAGGACCTCCAACTTGTGAAACTACCGAAAGCTACAGGTTTAATAGCTTTAAATATTTTTGTTTTCCTATGGGTCAGCAGCTTACTACCGAAAAAATAGTCTCATGACAATTTATTATCCAACTAATTTCACTAATAGCCTTGTACTCACCAAGTATATTGCTAGGGGGAAACTAAATAAAGGCAGTCATGAAGCTTTTTGGTTACATTGACAGTGATAAACTCATCTAACTGCTTCTACAGTATGTGGTGGACCTGATACTACATCACACAAACCCAGAGATGTACAATTTATGACAGGGATTGCTGGAAAAACTAACTTCAGTAAGCCATTTGTCTTTTACATGTCCCTTCAAGACAGGAACTCATAATAGTTCAACTTTTCTTGACAAATTAGGAGTTGAATGGTACCAATAACTTTCTTGAGAAAACACTAGCTTACTTTGGCAGCTGGACTATCAACAGTGTTATCAAATACATTGCATATACTGACCAGGGCCATCAAGAAATTTAGTCCCAAACATTTTCACCCATCACATCCTTCCAAAGGAAGACTGTTTTGACCATGACAAGAGTGTGCTCTTCTCATCTCATCATCACCACATATCCCACAAGCCTCAGGATCTGCAGTCCAAAAGAATTTCACAAGTTGACGCTGTTTATGCCTGGCTTCTCTGTCAGTGCTCAGACATATTTCTAATTTACAAATATAACACTGTTCAATTTCAAAGAATAATGGTAATAACTCTGCAAAATTAAGAACAGGTTGTGTTTGGAGGCCACTTTTGCAATGCAGCAGTGATTAGGACTTACTCACCAGTTCTAGACACTGCCTGTGTCCATAAGCAGCAGCGTAGTGCACTGTATTATAGCCATCTCTGTCCTGGATTGAAGGGTTTGCATCATTTTGAAGAAGAAATTCTAGACATCTGTGGATTATTTAGAAATATAAACCAAAATATTACTGTCCTACTGTGCATAATGACTGATGCCAAACTAAACATTCATTGACATATTAAAGATATTTAATGCCAACTTTTTATTTGTCTACTTAATGGAATCTTGCACCTGCTGAATCTTCATTTCCACCATATTCACCTGGATTTTGTACAGTGGTAATTAAGGACGTGGAAATTACATACTTGCTATAAGATGCAAGTAAAAACATTCCTACTATACTACATTCTATAATGTTTTGTTTCTATGGGAGAATTAGCCACATAATAAATATATGTTTTCTTATACTGGAGACTGGCCAGATTTGAGTTACATTCTTCTCAACTGGGGGTTCCATGTGCAGCCAAGAAGAGTTGCCATCTGTACAGCCAAAGAGAGCTTCTGTGCTTCAAATAACCACACAGTGACAATGAGAAGTGCTTCTTTTCACAGCTCTTCATCTGCTGAAATTTTATTTGCTATGCAGCTATTCAAATTGAAGAAACGATTCTGGATATTGGATTCTAATACACTTCCCAATATTACAGCATTTAACTAATTTTTGAATGTCAACTGCTTTTATTATGTTACCTCTTTTTTAAGGAAACTCTTTAAAACCAAGATTTGATACATCACTAACTACTACGTATATTCTACCAAACTGGTTATTGATATAACAAAAACTACAACAATGAAAGTAATGAGAGAGACACATCAACTCTAAGTATCAAGTTTGTGAAGGACAGATCTTCCTTGCAGTATTTAGTACAATGCTCTTGACATAAAGACAACAGAACCTATCTTCAAGCCTTCTTAAAAGGCTACAGTAGCAGTTAACACACAAAAAATCTTTAAAAACACACACATACACAGACATAACTATCTCAACACATGTAGATGGTCATCTATGGATTTCTGGTTTTTTGTTTTTCTTTTTGCCAAGCAGGAGTATAGTGGCCTGTCAAAAATTAGGGGATTTTAAATCTATTCTCTTGCCAAGGTCAGATCTGCTGAGAGTTTTAGATGTCTACCAATTACTACTCTCTTTAGGGACAGGGAACCTGCTAGAGTTAAGATGATGATTCTGGAAACTAATGGATTCTTGCTGATTCCAGGTGACATGGGGGGAAATTTTCTGGCATGGACAGCGGACATGTTTGTTTCTGAACTTCTTCTTTGAATCCCTTGGTATGTACCAAGCTGAAAGAAGTAGAAAGACATCTGGAGCAAAACTCATCCCAAAGTTTATCCGACACTATTAAGATCTCATTATTACACTTTTCCTCCATCGCTGTATTCTCTTAGGATATCCAGTGGAACTTCTCCAAGTGACTTGGAACCTTCTGAGTTCTCATCCAGCAAGGAAAATGTGGAACCTATGGTAGTTCCATGTGACATGCCTCCAAGTTCCCCTGAGGGCAAAATTTATTGTAATCATGACTTGGATTCTGCAATTTTGGCAATTAGATCTGTGAAGGAGTCCAGGACAGCTTTAAGGCATGACAATGTGGTCAAGGCACTTCACAGAATTCAAACAGGCATCTATTTGTTCAAACTTTGCCTCTCTTGGCTTATTCAGGTAATAGAAAGGGGGTGCTTAGCCAGATCCAAGTGTTTATACATTTCTTCTTAAAAGCAGGAATGGTCCAATCTTCATTAAAGGAATCAGGCCAACATCTTTTTGAGAAAGGTGCTTGAGCTGTTGGTAGATAATCAGATCCAGACAGTCTTGAGCGAAGCTGATTTTTAACAGACATCGGGCCTGATCTTGGCACTAAAAGTGCCTTGATTAGGTTGTGAGATAATCCTCTGTCTTTACAAGAAGAGAAATGTGGAGTTGCTTCTCCAGGACCTTTCAGAGATTTCTTATACTATCAATTATTTTGGAGAGACTGAGTTAGCACTGTCTCTAGAAAGTGCTGCTGGGGATTTTCTGTTCAAGGCTGTAGCATTTAAATGGTTTGATGCCATGCTGTTCAATATTTACATTAAACTGCTGGCTGAGATCATGTGGAATTTTTAGTGAAGTAGCATCAATTTATTGATAACATGCAGCTCTGTAGCACCTTTTCATCAGAGTCAGGTAATGCTTAATCATTTCATCACTTCAGTAATGGAGATTATTGGATAAAAGCCAGTAAATCTGGCTCAGCCCAAACAAGCCAGATTTTTGTTAGTGGATGGTTAACCAATTTAGGTGAGTAGGTTCAGTCAGAATGACTGAAGCTGTATCCTACCCTCACACTGCAAGCATTGCGCCTTTTGGCTCTGCGTGCAGTGTCACAATGCATGTACGAAAGGGGCAGTGCTTGTGTCATGATGCTGCTTTTGTCATTTTGCAGAGGGCTATGTAACATTTTAAAATAGTTAAGTATGAAATAAACCAGTACACACAAACATACATCTACATCAATAAAGAAGAATTCTACGGTTAGCATTTTATGGTTTTAGATGTCAAATCCAGCAGTACACAGAGAGACAGAGCAAAACTAAGGAATGGACATAACTGCAACCCACAGAAGGAGAAGCATAATGCAGAGATGTGGTCAAAGTGCTATACTGATACCAAACTTACAATGCAGCTTCTTTTTCCTTCTTTTCATTGGATCTTTCAATTTCTTCAGTGTTTTCATGGGAGTTACCCAAAATATTCTTTCTGAATGAAAAAGGCAACTCATTTTGAGATTCTTTGGTATAAGCTACTCTTCATTGTTTTCACTTCAAACAATAAATACATTTATGAGTGCTACCAGGAAACTTTTTAATGTAAATGTTTGACAGATTGGCACATGGCAGGAGTCATAAAGAGCTCTCAGAAATGGGAAGTATTTCCAGGGTCTTCATTCTACACCACAGCATCACATTCAGCTACAATATTTTGGAACTGCTTTCTGATATTTGTCATTTAAGCTCATCTTTGCTAGATACAGTCTCCCTCACCATATTCCAACCTCTCCCTGAAGACTGGTTCAGCTATATAATTTTGCCAACAAAAGTCTCAATGAAACTCTCAGGCTCACACTTACCAATATTTGCATGGAGAAAGTAGTGTGTCCTACCTAGAAGGAAAATTCTATTGGAACTCTCTACACAAATGTTACTTATGTGTTCACTCCTACACAATTCTCTCTATTCTAGACCCTCCCTAAAAGGCTTCTGCAATGGCAGAAATTGCAATTATGTCTAATTCAATGTGGGTACAATATGGATTGGTATCAGCTGTACCAATATCAGAAGAAGGTGGAATAATTCAAACAAGTTTTTGGAATCCTAGGGCATAAAAGTATTATTCCCATTTTAAAGACATTCTCTCATTGCCAAAAATATAGGTGAAACACATGGCTAATCAGAACAAGTAATAATGACAGCCGTTCTTTCTTTCTCTCTAAATCCACACACCATTTCTGATGTAAGCACAAACTAAGATGTATAAAATATCTGTTTCCAATAGTCTGCTGATACACTGAAGGAGGTGTGAGGCCTACAGCTTCATAATTGCTATTCTAGCAATGCATTACATTAATAATTCACCTTGTTGATTATTTTAGCTTGCCCATCATTATAGTCATATTCTTCCTTAATTGAGAAGCCTTTTATGCATCCATTTAACTTGCTACCAACAAATGAGTCAACATCATTAAGAAAACATTGCTATATTTTCTCTCAAACGCTTAACAAAAACACTGCGGTCCATTTAAATTCTTCTGAAATTGATCTGTTAATTTTTAATTTCAGCTTGGACAAAAAAAAAAGATGTACTCAAAATGGCAAAAAAATTCTAAATGGCCAAACATAGATACACATAGATGTGTATCATCCAACAGTGTTGGAGAACAAATATATGTAATTATGGAAATACAGGTGGTATTTTAGTTTGTATGCACAACTGTTAAAGCAAGTAGAAAATTTGCAATATGTGGGACAGGGCTTTATTTGATTCATGGATAAAAGCATTATGAATCATTTCATACATCATAATATTACCTTCAAAACAGAACAAAAATAAACTTCATGGATATCTGAGACAGTATTTCATTAGATTTCATAGACCCACCCAAATGATTGGAATAATACACGGAATTCTTAAATTTTGATTGGTTGCATCTCTTGTTAATAAATAGTGTCATTTTCATTACTAAACCAGTTCTCCCTTCTCCCTTAAACATTTAATTAAGAAAATATATGTCCCTTCAAGGTCACTGTCTGGAGAACGGTGTAGCTCTTAGCATTACAAAAGCTAATCTTTTTCCTAAATCAATCTTTTTTATCAAGACAGCTCCAAGGAATATTATGCTAAACTAGATATTTTTGTCTACACATGGCTTTTTCTTTCAATAATCGAAACTGAGGGGGGAGATCCACTCAGTCATTCATCCTAATTTCCTGTCTTCAGGCACGCACTTTTCAAATAAATCTTTATATCAAGATTTAAACACTTTTCCAATAACCTACTGGAGAAAAGGTCATGAATTTGATGGCACATAGTAGTATGATCCACCAAGGAATTTTTATGATCTTAATGTTTAAGTTATATCGAACTCAACTACCAGTGGGAGAGCTGAACCTAGTTCTTTCTATTTCAACTGTATGGAAATTCCTAGCTCTAAAGAAACCAGCTATTCTATTATAGTCTTCCCTAGAGTTCAAGACATTCTTACTTGCTCTCAGGATAGAGGTAAAGACTGTGAAGTTTATTATTTTTAAAATATAAATAAATTATGAATCTATTCTGTTTCATAAGCACAAATCTTGACTGAGGCCCAAAAACTTTTTTCCAGTTTCAGTCTTCGAATTAACAATGTGTGTGTGTGCATACATATGGATGTAGATAGACATATATGTACGGATGCATATGCATCCCAGCATGTGGGGGTGTACGGATGCATATGCATCCCAGCATGTGGGGGTGTTTTTTCAGTGAAGTTCTGCTGACACTGGGAAAAAAGGACAGGATTGTTGTTATTGTTAAGCATCCCCCTTTTACAGAGATTGGAAACACTTCAGATCGGCATAGGAGATAATACTGGGGACTTGGCTAATAAAACTATGGGAGAATAAAGAACACATGAGCTGTACTACTCACACACTACTATAGCAGAGTTGTTCTTTTAACTGAAGCCAAAACTCCTTTCATAATACACTTAGTGTAGACTAGTATTTTTCTTAATGCATACTTAATAAAGGAATGGTTCAGTCCCTAAGGTCTGTTTGATACGTTAACATGGCAAACCTTTTACATGTAACTATAAATCAGAGGCACGAACCAAAAACAATAAGTTTACAAGGGCAGCAAAGATTGTCTGCAGCTCTCCATATTTGCACATGGTGCTAATATACATATTTACTTCTACATGAACCACACTCTACAATGCATGAACCTTATAAATTTTCTTTCTCTACTCCTTAAATTTCTTTATAATAGAAAACTATTTCCTCATAATTTGATGGGATTGTTTCACATATTATTGGATATTTATATTTCAAGAACCAGTTTATAGAGAAATACTTCATTTAAAGTTATTATTTTAAAGAATATTTTTGCTAGAGACTTATGCATCAGGTATAAAGAACTACATTATTATGAGATGAGCATCAAAGCCAGAAATACTCTGGCACAGTGGAACATAGCTTGCTATAATTTCAACATTCACTCAGAACAAAAGAAAATGTAGAGATATGATCACAGGGATCAGGAGCTTTAAGAATATAAAGAGGACATTTTAACTCCATCATAATGTCATGCTCCTGCCAAACCTTTTTGCCATTGCTTGAAACTTAAAACTGTTTTATGTCCCCATATGACAAGAGTTTTCC